AGTTCGGACACATAAGGTCATCAAAGCAGTGAAGGCGCGAATCGAACGAAATCCCGTACGTAAACAAAAAATCCTAGCTCTGCAGATGGGGCTAAGCAGAACCACTGTTAAAAGAGTACTAAATGAAGACCTGGGACTACGAGCTTATCGTAAAAAGACAGGACATTTTTTGAACGAGCGTTTAAAAAAAATTAGGCTAGACAGATCCCGCGCTTTGCTACGACGGTACGCGGGAAAAAAATACCGCGAAATTCTTTTTTCGGATGAAAAAATTTTTACTATTGAAGAAAGTTTTAACAAACAAAATGATAAGGTGTATGCCCACAGCAGTGAAGAAGCAAGCGCGCGTATTGCGAGGGTCCAGCGTGGGCATTACCCTTCCTCATTCATGGTTTGGCTTGGAGTCTCATATTCAGGCGTAACTGAGGTGTTTTTCTGTGAAAAAGGTGTGAGAACTAGTGCCGAAGTTTATCAAAATACTGTCCTAACAAACATAGTGGAACCTCTTTCTCAGACAATGTTCAGGAACAGGCATTGGATATTCCAACAGGACTCTGCACCGGCTCATAAGGCACGAAGTACGCAAGACTGGTTGATCGCTCGTGGAATTGACTTCATCCGGCATGAAGACTGGCCCTCTTCTAGTCCAGATTTAAACCCACTGGACTACAAGATATGGCAATATTTGGAGGAAAAAGTCTGTGCTAAACCTCACCCGAATTTGGAGTCTCTCCGAGCATCTCTGGTTAAAGCAGCGGCAGACATAGATATGAATGTGGTGCGTGCAGCGATCGATGACTGGCCGCGTAGATTAAGGGCATGTGTTCAAAATGGGGGAGGGCATTTCGAATAATGTAAATAAAATTATATTGTACATTTAATGACCTTTCATTTCATATATAATTTTTAAATAATTGTCAAAAGGCGTATAAGTTATTACATCAAAAGTTTGTGACAGAACTTATGACCCGACTAAGTATACAAATTAATAAAATCAAATCTTATGTATGTGTTCTTAGTGCTACTGAAAAGAATTTTTTTTTATCTCAGTACTTACTTATTCAGGCTATTTAAATGAACCTTAAAAACTGAAGGAGCTCTATAAGTAAGCTTGCATTGATAACTTTTACCTTATGTTTAGCAAACCGGTAGGTTTAAGTAAGGTATTAGGTATTTCATTAAACTAGTTAACTTCCAGCCTAAGTAATTTTACCATCTGTCATTTCTTACATAAACTCATAGTTTAATGAAAAATAATTATAGTCAGGTCTCAAGGGGTATAAATTCAAAAACGTTTTAATTAATTTCAGTTCCAAATTAGAATGATCCAGAAGAAATTGAGTCACACACTAACCTCGAGCATTTAAGTGTGGAATTATAAAAATAAAAAGCTTTGCTTAAGAAATGGCGATGCGATGGTCTCAGATTATAATTACGGTAGAGTCGGTAGAACTCACCCGTGCACCGTCACTCACCACTAAATATAATACTGATAGGGTTATCAACATTTCTATTTCATTACTAACACATTTTTTCTGATAAGTTTTCTTCGTCATAATGAATCTTGGGACATGCAGTTATCTTATTAATAAGCTTAACTTGAGTATAAGTTCAATTCCTCTATATTTCGCAACCAAAACAGACCAAATAGTGATTCCGAATATTATAACATTCCCCTTATACATATGTTGTATGTAGTTACCGTTGCAGCTACACAAAAAGAAACATTACTACAATTCCGCCTTCTATTGTTTTCCTAACTTAGTTTACAACGTGCTATATTTACTCTCTAAATACGTGTGCCAGCCCTAACTGAAGCCCTGTGCGTTCCATGCTTTAAACTTAATAGCAATCTTTATAGCCTAGCCTCCGAATAGTGATGTTATCGTTCGATACTCGATGTCGATAATGTGTTATTATATTGTACAATTGCGGGTTACGTATTGTTCTTTGTAATGTTGTATAATTGTTGCAATCTGTATTTGAACTTAATTATCATGTTAATTAAATTACTACTAAAGTGCTACCTGTGATTTGCGATTTAATTCGTGACACAGACAGTTATTACGAGTTTACCGTTAGGAAATACTTATACGCAATTAGCTTACGATTTCTAAGTATATTATTTCACTTTACAGTTTTAAGAGTGCTTCTGTTTTTGCTATAAATAACGTCGTTGCAAACTAGAGCCAGCTAACGCCAGCAATTTAAAATTCAAACTACTGATTGCTATTTACCATAAAATATTCACTTGAAAAATTAACTGAGCAACAAACAGCACTTCAATAACTCGCGCTCGGATCGCTCGGTCGATAAACGTCGGTATAATTCTGGCGAGAACGTGCTTGTCACAATTTATCGTGGCGGCGCATCACTAGCCGGGAGCAAAGGTTTGGCAGAGGGCGCAGGCATCAATTTGCGCGCGGTAGCGGCCGCGGGCGCCGCGCCGCCCCTGTCATTAGCCCCCCTCTGCCCGCGTCCCGCGCCCCGCTCGACCTCAGGGGAACATACTTTAACCTTTTTTGCTCCCCTGCAACCTGTTCGGGACGCGGCTGCTGCGCGCGCGCTGCGGTTCATGGCCGCGGGCGATACGCAGTATCTGCAAAATAGGGCTGCTAAGTATACGCGTTTGTTTTTGTCCGTAACTGGTTGTAATTATATGGAGATGGAAGGGAATGTTGCTATAAAGTGCACTTTAAATAAACTTTTTTGTAGAGCTTTGATATTGGTTTATTTATCTATCGATTTATTTTATCGTTTATAATCACTTTAAAATAATCATTGCACGAATTATTCCTCATTCTTGAGTAAAAATGATTTCTTGAAATACAATGCCTAAAAGATTATTCATAGAAATAAAAAAAGGAAACTGTCTAAGACACAGTATTCCTTTTTTCATATTGTTCAAAAAAATATTATATTCACCAAATATCATTCTTCCTCAACGATCAGATGTTATCCAGCAACCCTACGCAACCTGTTAAGTGCACAGGGCGCGTAATAATGTAGGCTCGACGTTAGTTACCCACAGGCTCCCAGAGTGCGCGGCAAAACAAGTGCAGGCGCAGCCTTACGTGATAATAACCAATTTATATCGAAGCAGCTGTCCTCGTCAAAATGTGATATTAACTTATGACTTATCTAAAGGCAAATTAATGGTCGGCTTCGATTTTAATGTGAGTGCTTAGTTTTTAGTACTCTATTGAAATAATATTTGTTGGCATTCTCTTAACATTTCTAGATATTTTTCATGAAATAATACGAAATTGAAATGATAAAAAAATTTAGCAACAAATAAAACATTTTCAACTATTGAGTATCAAGAAAATTATTTAAAAAGCTTAGGTACCTACACGATGCTCTTCTATGTAATCTATTACATTACTTTCAAAGTATATAATTATATGTCAGAAACACAGTTTTACAAACCGCTTGATCAATACCTACGTCGACCATGGTAAACATGTGAACAAAAAATCACCATAGACTCTCCCGTTGACTTTGAACCGTCCAGATAAAAAGGTCACCGCCGAAACAGGTCTGGCTTGCTTCCCCGAACCAGTAATTTGAGCCACAATTAAACAATTTTCTTGAATATCATTCCGCTTCATTTGAACGGTTGGGGTCACTTGTGACCCCGGGGCACACATTAGGGTCCCGGTCCGATTCCGTGGCTCCATAAACCCCATTAAACATAAACATGCCCCCAAACCACTTGCGTCGTCCCAAGGCCCAACAGGCCGCTCTTTCGTTCCACTTTATTTAATTTCAATATATTAGAACGAGAAGTTTTCTAATCTTGCTCAGCGGCGAATGGCTCCACATTTGCATAAAAGTAAATTTGCTCCCAAGCCCTGGATAACGCTAATGGCAATCTCAAAAGGAACAAAACGAGCGCCGCAAATTGACCTGTCCCTCAGCCGAGCCGCGCCGACCTGTCGCCGCTACGTTCCCATCATCTAGCCAGTAGCTATCTCACTTTAATTATTCATAGACTTTTTATACGCTATCGCTTTTTACCGCTCGACGGCCGGTCGAAGCCTTATAAAATTAAAAAATAAAATAATCGAACGTCGGCGCAATTTAAAAAAGAAATAAGTCGGATGACACGGATCGAACTCCGGGCAAATGTCGCGCTGTAAAAAGTGGTCGAGCGGTGCGACGAGAGGAGAGCGGGCCGAGGCGCGGGCTGGTGGCGGGCAGCGGGGAGGGGGGCACAGGACGTCACGTAGGCGGCGCGGTTTTTGTCAACGTTCCCGCGGAGATGACAGGTCGCTGGACGCGCCGCCCGCGACCTGCCCGCAAATCATCTTGATGCTTTTCATTTAACACAATAGACTCATCTCAAAACTATCATAAAGTAATTTAAATAGTGAATGCCTTCCAACTGGTAGCTATATTCGATATTAATTGCATGTATCCGGCTGTGTAACAAAGTTAAAAGCCTATGAAGAGATATGAATATGCATGTCTGTACTATAATTAGAGTAATAAGGTAGCACACTATAATGCAGGTTTTATACCACTTGACATAGTTCTGGCGTGTAATTAAAGTTAACTAGCAGTAACTTTTATTTATTCAAAGATATTTTATTTTAAAACATCAGTATTGGATTAAAAAATCAAGTATCAAGATCTGTTGTAGTCGAGGCACGGCGATGCTGAGGTTGTGGGAGACAGGTGCACCTTTACCGCAGCGCGTTGATGTCTAATATACTGTAAAACCTTATAATCTTCAAAATAATTTGGACTGAAACTTCATAACTTGATATGTTAATAGTTTTAGGCAATAGTTGCTTGTTCTTTTTAGTAATTATTAGTTATATTATAAATAGGTTTCAAAATGTAAAACCCGTTATAACGAAAAACAATATTTTTAAGTATTTATTTTTATTACTTCACATGATATGTTCTATGAAACATCTGTCAGCCAACAAGAAATACAATGACTTTGTTACAAAAAAGCTTTAGGAAATAACACAATCGTTTTTCTTTTCCAGAATTTCCGTGAACAAAGAATTGACGGAGCTGGTCTCCCTCTTCTCACAGAAGATCACCTAACAGGGATGCTGCAGATGAAGTTGGGGCCGGCTCTCAAACTGCGAGCTGTGTTGGCTAGACGGCTCGAGCCCTGTGTGCAGTGTCAGGCCGCGGCCAACACCCTAGCTATAGCGCCCAGGATAAACGGTGCCGCGCTCAAGTCGGAGCCCCGAAGCAACACAACCAGCCCCAGTTAGGGTCACTTCGAAAGTACCTAGTATTTTTAACGCGTATCGTTCCTGCACAACCGCTTTTTGTTTACATAGAAAATATAAGAGCCTGCTCTTATTTAATTCCATCCGTTTCAGTATGTTCCTATGAACTATTATGTTTGTTCATTTTCTGTGGAAAGAAAGAGCCGTATTTATGATACATTCACTAAGACATTGACTTCTGGAATTATTTGTAAGGCCTAGACTTAAATATTTGGGCCTTAGTTTTCGTCTGACAGATTTCATTCAATCATTTTTAACAATCATAATAATACTAGTTTAATTATAGTCATCTGCCTGCATTCGTACAGTCTTCTTGTTCATAGATTTTGCATTTAGTTATTATAAGACGCTTTAGTTTATACTTTTAGTTATATAAGATTTTTGTTTTGTATATAATAAACGAGTTGCCGTCCAAATGTTTTAAATGTAATACTTGCGTAAGAAATATTTTTGTATGTTAATTAATTATCGAAATATATAAAATATGGGGTCGGTTAATATAAAAATTTTGTCAACGCCCCAAATTAATGTTACGTACAAAAATGTTTTGCTAATAACGAAATTACTTCGGTGCTAAGACCCTGTTTAACTTAAATATGTTGTGTATATAATGGCCGTTTTGTAAAGAAATATTGCTTAAAGAATCGAGGCTACGTGTCTACAGGGTCACAAAGATATAAACGGTTTGTATATAAATACAGTAGTTGTATAGATGTTTAGTTATATATACGTGGATTTACGATAGCATTTATTGTCACCACACCTGAAGAAAGCTCAGTAATACCGATCTACAATTAAATACATTGTAGTTAAATTGTTTAGTTAGCTGTATAGAGGACTTAACTTCACAGTGAGCATAATATTTCCTTTGTAATTATTGTTTTTCTGTAATATGGAGAGTTTTGTAAATAATGTAACGACTGCTCGTAGATATTATAACGTAACTGGTACAAAAAGATGATGGATTTTGTAAATACATCGATAAAATACTAGTGTTTTATGTGTCAAATTTTACCAAAATTTTATTGGGGTTTCAGTAAATTTTGTATTTTTCTGTTTTTACGATTTGACCAGTTACGATCACAGACGTCGTTTAAAATAGATCTAGATAGTATTTTCTACAGATATTGTAAAGAAAAAACGTGGTTTTCCTGTGGTAATCTCCTTAATTGCCAAAATAGAATGGTTAAATAAACGATATATACTTATTTAGTAGATAAAACGGGTTGCTGGGGATGTCAACACGTCGTACTGTTGTTAGAATGTGGATCAAATAATACTACTTACCCTGTTACAGGAAAAAATATAATGAATATACTTTTGTAACGATATTTTGACTTGAAATAACTTTTGTTTGATCTCTAAAACTTTTGACCAAAATATAACAACTTTTATGCAGTATTGATATCGTTAAACCGTATCTTACTTACACTATAACAACTTAAAATATAACAAAAGATATATTATTTTCAAACATTCATCGTCATATCTTTATATTAAATAAAGCTAACTAAAATATCAAATAAATGTAATAGAAACAAATTTTTAAGATCGGTAAACAGTTTGTGGTGTTTTCAAGTCAAAATATTCGAATTTCCAATTAATAAAACTCACCAGTGACCTTTATAATCATGTAACGACCAACATATCATCAAAATCGTAAGGTGCTATTTCGGTACGTTGAATAAACTGTGCCTTCAACAGTCTTCCTTAATTAGAATAATAAAAAAATATTATAACAATATTATTATTTTAATAAATAATCATAACACTTTCAGAAAAGTATTACGGTTGTACGCTTTAAATTGGACGATAATAATACATAATAATAATAAATAGTTTTCTATACATAGATTACTGGACGAATTATTGTTAATAAGTGATTATTTTATTAGAACTTTATATATATGATCACAGCTTTTATCGAGTAAATAATGTTATGGACAGTGACTTCCTGGATATTATACATAGATGTGTAAATTTGTACCTACATATAGTTCTGTTAAGTTCTTTACAATGGCTAAATTTTATTAATAGATAACTGTTTAGTCTGTACGAAGAGAACAAAGATGAATACTATAAGTCTTTGTATAATTGCCCAACGACTATAAAAAATAAGGGCAGCAATTTTTTTTTAAGATCTTAATCACGATTAAACAGTTTTTTATTAATACAATATCATCTCACACAGGGCTGGAGATAAATTAGGGACTTATTGTTTTGAAAAATAGAATTCACTTGTCGTTGTCATGTATCATTTTTGGCTTTACAATATCATCGACTTGCTGATTATTTTTATTCATAATTTTGTGATTACTCATCAAAGAATTCTTTACACGAATCGTGATCGATATATCAATGAAGTATACCATGTTTTTAGATATCTAAAACAAAGCTTAGCATGTGATTTGAGAGTCTGTTTAATTGTCGTTACCTTCCATAAATACTCTGTGTAGAAGGAACCCTTAACCAAAACACATGCTAAGTAAAGTCCCCTTAAGTATCTCCACCCTAAAGTCCAGATTAAATGTGAAGAAATCGTGATTTTATTTCAATGATTTTTTGTGTTTTCGACATAACTTCGGTTATTGTTATTTTTAATGTACTATAATTATTGTGTATAACAAGGGTTTAGTCACTTTGTTAGTTTCCCTGCGAACATTGTACTTAGTTATGTGTAGCTTGTCTAGCCGGTCGAGATCGATCCAACCCTTTAAGTATTTATGTGAAGAGAAATAAAAGCGACAATTTAATGAAACTACTCTTTATTGTTTTATTGTTTCTTTTATTCTTCATAATGTCTTTTGATTTAATTTCTTTCTACATTTTCAAGTACATTTTAAAATAGCCAAAGTTTTTTTAACATTTTTGCAATCCTTAGTTAATTGTTACTTTTAATTTATAAGTACGTACTTCTATCTATTCTATGACTATCTAGTTTACGTTAAGAATACTCGTTAAAAACTTAAAAACTATTTTTAATGAGGACTGATAGTTTACAACACTTTTATACAAAACTACTGAACATTTGAAGATAATATTTTGGTTTACAAATAGATTGATTTAGTAACTGATGAACTTAAGTATTTACACATTTTCCTGTAATATTTAAAAATACTTTAAAGATAGTACTCGTGGATCTCTATGATAGCATTTTACCTAGATTTATTTATTTTACAATTAAAATATCATCAAAAACGTTAGTGCATTTTCCGATCTTCGGTATGTATGTTTCTTGTTTAAAGACATGACATTAGATACAGCTGAAATTTATAACCAAAATCAATCCAATTCTAAATCTGTAAATAAACATCACTTTGATATTTGCTATATAGAGTTTCCAATCAAAACAGAGATCAATTCTGTGATTTCTGATTAACTTGTGATTAATGATATCAGTTATTGATTTTGGTCGGTAGTCAGAAGGAGACCATGGGTTTCTATTCAGGTTATTTCAGATTTTCAAAACATGAAATTCCTACACTTAGTTACATGGAACTCACAACACCATATGCTTTTCACATTGTCAATAAGATCATACCTAAGTAGACTTTCAGTAGTCCCCTTCAGCTTCAGAAGTTTTCCTTAGAGATTCTTGTTCCGGTTTCTTTTCGACAAGTTCAAAGTTCCTCTCGAGATGATGAGCTTTCTTTACTTTGTACTCCATTAGCTCTATGATGCTGTAGCCTAAGAAACCAACTAGAAGAAAGCCTAGAAGGCAGTATAACCTGAAAATAATAATGATAATCTTTGTTTCATATAATTTATATAAGTGTGTGAGTAGAAACATTTCTCACGTGATAGAGTTTGATCTTTATTTTGAAAAGACCTTTCCTAAAATATTTTTTGAAATACGTATGATGTACGTATGAACATAGAACTGAATATACTATGTTGCCATGGTGGCACAAAGGTTAAGACTCGACTCGAGAAGTTGGGTGTCCTGGCAAGTACCAATATGACTTGTTCCGAGTCATATATATTTTGTAAGTTCATCATACGGTGAAGGAAATCATTGTGGGGGAACCTGGACTTATAATTTCTAATTACAAGTTTGAAATCGCCAATCCGCATTGAGCAATTAGTGCAAGGGGCTCTTATAGGCTGATGATGTTGAGATGTGAATAAATGATATTTTATAAAACCAGTCTTGTTAAATTTATTAATTAATTTAAATTTTGTAATGATCTACGTGCTAAACAGCCATAGATCTCACATCTGTAGGAACAAATACATACATGTACCTAATAAACAAATCAAGTTTCATAGCAAAATCCTTCTTACCTCGTCCTAACACACAAGTATGGTGCAGTTGCATACGACAACACACTGCCGGTCGCCTCCCACAGACGGAAGTTAGAGTAAGCTGCCTCCTCGTTGCCAGGGAATAGGATGCCTGAAAATGCTGAAATAGATACCAATATGCGTCAGTTGTGTTTCAAAGAAATTTTAATGAAACTCTTTTGAAAAACTGTTTCTTCTATAGAACGTGTGTGTATTTTAAGTCGATCTGTATTTTTGTCATAATATAATCAATAATTCTACTTATAACACAAATTCAGCTTTATGTTTTCAGTAGCTTGTTTAGTAGTACTCATTACAGAAACATATACAAAAAATATATATTTTTGCGTTATATTTTTCGTTTATCTGTAAGCTACAAACATTAACATCAAAGAAGTGTGAAAAATAATTTATAATAAACATTATTCGTATCTGTTTATTTACCGAAGAATAGATTACAGTGCAAATTTAAGATGCATTAGTATATATTTATACTATGAGCTGTTTTCCAATGACTTGTAAGTGGCAAAAAAGTAAGGAAATGTGTTTCGGAGATGGTGATTCTTAATGATTTATCCTACCATTAACTTGGACCAGCCACACAGCATCAGCAGTGCCCCAGATTGCAGCTAACGCGTAGAACACCAACCATTGCTCAGGGTCTGGGCGCCAGTAGAGCAGAGACGTGAGGAGACACAGGTTTAGCAACTGAAATTACATATTCAACATATTAAGATAAACTTTCTTTAAAAGCGTAAAATATAAGGTTCAATAAATTGTGACAATTATGAAAATATTAAGGGCAAGTAAAATTTTTCAGAAAAAAGCATTCTATTTGACGTATAAACATTATTCAAACTAATATTATGAATGCGAAAGTAACTCTGTCTGTCTGTCTTTTCGTCATGCCTAACCTACCGAACTTATATGTGAATGAAGATTACAACACCTCCAAATGAAGACTCAGTAAGCTTCGACGACTCGAACATAGTGGGAGATACACAAATTACACAAAAAACACCTGTTAAAATAAGTATGCAAAACCTAAGTGAACTAGTAATGTCACGTTTGAAAGAAAATAACAAAACACTAGTAGAAGAATTACAAAATACAATCCACACTGAAATAAACAAAGCCATAGCTGAACTGAGACAGGACTTTGATTACAAAACAAGAACTTTAACCCAGCAAAACAAGGAAAGGAAACAAGAATTAGATATAGTCACTACTAAACTGAAATATCTTGAAACCGAAAACACAATCCTGAAACAACAAATTTTAGAACTCTCTTCACAAAAATTTAAAAACGCAAATTTTCAGGAAAGTAATATGAGGAAAGTGGTGCTCTACGGTTTAGCCGATTATACAAGGGAATCTGAAAGTGATTTATATAATAGGTTGATTGAATTATTTTACGACATAACAAATGTTGACTTATCTGGATACATAGAAGATATATATAGAATTGGAAGAAAAAACACAAAAAAACCGCCCATTAGTTATAGAACTGATAAGTAAGAGGATGACAAGATATATAATAAATAATAGCCAGTATTTTCAGGGTACTGGACTATATATATCAGAGTTCTTAGATAAAAATGTGCAAAAAGAAAGAACGCAGCTACGAGAAGAAATGTATAAGGCCCGTAAAAACGGTCTACATGCCGTAATAAAACATAATAAGCTATACATTGAAGGAAAACCAGTAAACATAAAAGTTAGCAATGACACAAAAAACACTACGAGTGCTGAAGACATAGAAAAAACATATGCTTCTGTTATGGTAAATAATTCATACCAACTCGACACTACACAGGAGACAGATAATAGCAGAATTGATATGTTTCGAAAATAAAAACAAAGCATTTAAAATATTATTTCAGAATATCCAAAGCCTAAACAATAAACAGGATGTCGTAGAATCCTTTCTCGACCAAAACCCCAGTTATGAAGTATTATGTATCTCGGAAACATGGTTAACACCAGATAAAATGGAAATAATTAAATTCAACGGATATACTTTTGGTTCAGCATACTGTCGAAGGACCCGAGTCGGCGGTGGCGTGAGTATACTGCTGCAAGATAACATAGAATATAAATGTAGGGATGATATTACAGAAATGTCCATAGAATATGTTATAGAGTTATGCGCTGTTGAATTGTTAAATGAAAATTTATTAATAATATGTATGTATTGGAATAGAAGGGAAGAGGAATTATTTTACCAACAATTACAGTCAATTTTAAAATATGTAACCAATAAGTACCCTAAGCAAAATATAATTATAGGCGGAGATTTCAATGTAAATGTCTTATGTAAAAACGCCAAAGTCAACTACCTTCTAAACTTAATGTTAGAGTATAAATTCACACAACACATTGAAACTGCAACTAGAATAACTGATCTTACTGCCACATGCTTGGACCTCATATTCACAAACTTTTACAGCAACAGCATATACACAACAGTAGATGAACATGGGTTTTCAGACCATAACAGCACCACCCTACATATTGACCTCCCACAGAAAACAAAAAAGTCTACAAACTGGTTTACATGGAAAAGATTGTACACATACACAAACATACAAACATTTAAAATGGAATTGCAAAACTTGAACTGGAATAATATAATTACAGATCAACGGAATATTAACGAAAATTACATGACTTTTAATAATAATTTGTTAAAAACATTAAATAAATGTATACCACTACGTAAAATAAAACTAAATCAATTATATAAAAAGTATTGGCTAACAAAAGCAATAAAAAACTCGTGTAGAAATAAGAGACAACTAAAAATAATAACAAATAAGACAAAGAATCCTATTCTACTTAAATACTATAAAAACTATGAAAAAATACTAAAAAAATGTATAACTACCTCAAAAAGACTACATTATAAAAAGACAATTATGAGATCTGACAATAAAGTGAAGTCAATGTGGAATATTATAAACGAACGCACAAACAAAAAAGCTAAAAAGGAAAAACGCAACTTAACTATTGAAAAAGACAATAAACTAACGTCAAATCCCAAAGAAGTATCTAATATATTCAATGAATTTTTTGCATCAATCGGAAAAATCCAAACATTTAACATACAAACCAACAATTTACATTCTCCTCTCATCTCAGAAAGAATAGAAAACAGTATATTCTTAACTCCAGTTAACGCGTATGAAGTAAACCGAATAATAAAAAATCTAAAGAATAAAAAAAGCCACGGAATACATGAATCCCATATTATTTAAACAATGCGCGGACGAACTGACGCTTCCATTCTTTAAACTACTAAATCAATCCTTTGAAGAAGGTTGCTTTCCTGATTTATTAAAAACAGCTTTAGTAAAACCCATCCATAAGAAAAATAATAAAACTGACCCTAACAACTACCGCCCTATAGCCCTCTTGCCCACAGCTTCAAAAATATTCGAAAGAGCTATGTGCGATCGGGTATATGCCTATTGCGAAAAATATAAAATATTTAACGACCATCAAAATGGTTTTCGCAAAAACAAATCGACGGTTCTAGCTGTCTATAAATACATCCAGGAAGCCTTGAACATAATTAATGACAAAAAATACGCTGTAGGACTACTAATAGATATGACAAAGGCCTATGACAGAGTACAATTTAACATATTATTACAAAAATTATATAGTATCGGAATTCGTGGAAAGTGCTATGACTGGTTCGCATCTTATTTAAAAAATCGAGAACAACTAGTAGAAGTTGAATATTATAATCACTCAACAAACGAAATTGAACTAATCCGATCCGACATCGAGCCAATAAACGCTTCAATCCCACAGGGAAGTGTCATAGGATGCTTTCTATTCCTGATATACATTAATAATTTACCAACATATATTCACGATCCATGTGTCCTATTTGCTGACGACGTATCTATATTGACTTCTTGTGAAACAAACACCAATGTAAGCGAAAAACTGGCCTCCATTCTTAACACTACTACGCAGTGGATGGCAGAACATAACTTGGAAATAAACCTCAGCAAAACTAAATTAATTGCATTCCACCCTCACCAGAAATCCACCATAAACATTAACTTTACTTATAACAATTCACAATTAGAAGTCGTTAATAATTTTACATTACTTGGCATAGATATAGACACTAACATAAATTGGAAAAGTCACGTACAAAAAGTGAGGGCAAAAATATCAAAGTTCTCATACGCGCTCCGAGAGATAAAAAAGACCACCGATTTAAAAACCGCACTTGTCACCTACTACGCTTACGCCTATGCGTGGCTGAAGTATGGTATAATACTATGGGGAAATAGTACAGACTCACAAACACTATTCACTCTACAAAAAAAATTAATTAGAATCTTAATGAATATTAAAGAAACAAACAGTTGCAAACCGCACTTCCAGGAACAAAAAATACTTACCCTCCCTTGTATTTATATCTATGAAATATGCAAATTCGTTCGTAAATATCCAGAATTCTACTCCACTAGAGAACACATACAATGTAATTTCACACTAAGACATAAAAAAAGACTAAATCTACCAACATCACGATTGAAAATACACTCTTCTGGACCTCTAGTCATGTCAATAAAAATTTATAATAGGTTACCACAAGAATTAAAAAGTGAAGATAAATACAATAGATTTATTATGAAATTGAAACAGTTTCTACTAAATAAGGCTTATTACAGTATTGGAGACTATTTTAACGAAACGAGACACTTATGAGCACACAGAAGTGCATAATACAGCAACAGGTCTACAGGCCATAAGTACATATAATTGTGTTATTATTATTGTTTTGATGTTGACTGAATAATTGAAAAGTGTATAATCTTGATTAATGACATTTAGTTTTATTTTATTTTATTTTTTATTTTTTATACTTTTCTTTAATTTGATTTTGTTATTTTGGTGTGATTCTATTTTAATTTGATTCTGATTATTTTGATTCGATTGTGATGACTTGATTTGATTTGACTTTGCCTTTTATTTACATATTTTATTTTTATTTTATTTTGACCTCAATTATATTTATTTTGATTGTAATAATTTAATTTTGACTTTTATATGTTTAATTTAAATTCGATTATATGTTACATTTTAATTATTAGAAATTTGATGATAAAATGTGAACTTTATTGAAAAAATATTAACTTCATTTTATTAAATGTTGCTGTGCCCTTACGGGGTCCATAAATGTACCTACTTAGCTTTAAGCGTATTGTAACACCCTATTTACTTTATGGAATGCAAATAAATGAATATGAATATGAAATATGAATTTTAGTACAGACATGGGCAAGAACCCGAGAAAGAACATATGATAGTTTTAAACCAAAAAGGTTCTGTAGGAAGCCAACTATTTCAGGCGAACAAAGTAGCGGACTTCATACAAAATTCATAGAAGTATATCGTTTTTGGCAATTCAATACAAGTTGAATTCGAGTAGAAATTGAATTGGACTAATTGGAAACTACCGGATTCCAGTTCAATTTTGATCTTAGATGAATAGTATGTGTAAGATGCAGGCATGGTTCTTGTAACAGTGCAAACAACAAAAATATTGTCTGTCTATGTTAAGCTATTTTTTAAACACTTACCGTTGTTAAGTGGTTATTTAACCCATACCTGGGCATTTGTTTTCGAAGCACATCATAACAAATTAAGTTATCACAAACTGTATTTGAGTGCTAAAGTTAGAATTTAAACTACTTCAGCCAGCAGTAAGTTACCGCGGCCTCGGCCTAAATCAGAAGAAGGAACGGGGAGGTTTTTAGTCAGTAAGAGTATGAGACTGTTTCTCGCCTAATCCTGGGCGAGAGAAGTCTTTTGATGATTTTCCCCTCACAAAAAAACTACTCTAAATAGTTTTAGGTTTTTTTTATGGAATAGGAGGCAAACGAGCAGAAGGATCACCTGACGGTAAGCGATCGGCGCCACCCATATACACCCGCAACACCAGAGGAGTCACAGGCGCGTTGCCGGCCTTTTAAGAAGGAGTACGCTCGTTTCTTAAAGGTTTGAAGGTCGTATCGGTTCGGGAATATCGCCACCGGAAGATCATTCCAAAGCTTTGCTGTGCGGGGCAGAAAGTTACGCGTGAAAGGTAATAATAGGTGTGTCTTACCAATGCAGTGACCATAACAGGGAACCTGCCGGTGACCTTGACGAGCGCTCCAGCGACTGGTGCAGCCAACGCATTGAAGACTCCGAAGCAAATCATCACGTAGCCAATGTTACTGATACCGTACGCACAGCCGATGAACGCCTGGCAAAATTGTTATAGCTATACGTAAATCTACAACTAGTAAATGTTTTATTGAAGGGATAATCTTCTACTGAAATATTTATATTAGTACTACAAAGACGTATAAGAAGTAAGACGTATTGGTTTTAGTTTACTGTTTTTCAAATAAGTTTTTTTTACCAATAGTTTAATAGAAATAAATTGTCAGATTCGACCGCTTTCATCAATTATTTATTGGCATACGATAAGAACCCTTCTAATATTATAAATGTGAAAATTTGTAAGAATATATTGATGTGTGTTTGTTATTCTGTACCGCATATATGGCTAGACGGATTTGGTTGACAAAGTTAATATTATTTTGCTTCTAAATTACAAAAAGAGAGAGAGAGAGCATAGTGTTCTTTGGAGTTGTGAATATTGTCATTGATCCGCAATGGGTTAAATATAATCTTGCTCTTTCTTTTTGGACAGGAGGAGGACATAACCAATGGTTTGTATATCAAAAAAATATAATATACAAACTACGTACTAATTTACCATTTACTTATTAGATACTTCTTTCTCTCTTTTTTCTTTTTTTTTTCTTTCTTTTTTTTAATTAAACGTTGCCCCACACTAGGATTCTCTCCTGTGCGGGTGCGTTTACAAACATACAAATTCACATACACAACACACCCCAGAACCGAAATAACAATTTGTGGATCACACAAAGTATTGTTCCGTGCGGGAATCGAACCCGCGACACGTTGCACAGCAGCCAGTTGCCCAGCCACTGCGCCAACCTTGCAGTCAAACTATATATACTAGATTATAATTAAAAATTCTTTCCTAACAAAATACTGACCTGAGTGAAATCAGCCGCCATGAAAGCTTGTTCAGCACCAATATATCCAATGACTGGTAAGAGTAGCAGTTGGTACTTGTGTCGCAGCTGTCGAAGAGTTACCGCTAACAGACGGACTCCAGACTTACCCTGACAGGCTGTGTTACGACCTCCGGTGTATCTGCGAATGGGAGGAGGGAATTCATGAAGTCAGTTTATTGTGACCGCTATAAAAAAAAGAACTTAAAATGTTTCTATATTATCAAGCGTGGGAGAGCCATGCTTCGGCACCAATGGGTGCAGTGATGCCACGGCTTTAAAGAAAACCAGCGTGATACAAATATAGTGTTAAATTTCGCTGTGTAAGTGAGGTTACCAGAGGTCCAATCCCTCCCCAATCTTAAAATCTCGTAATCCTAATCCAAGAAATGCCGATAACGCGCTTATTATATAACTCCTCTGGTATTGCGGTTGTCCATGGGCGGCGCTGATTGCTTACCATCAAGTAATCCGTATGCTCGTGTCACATAAAAAAAATTAAGTAATTTCTCGATTCATTTGAAACCACGCTAATTACTGGCAACACTGGCGACAAAAGACTCGGTGAGGTGGGGTACAACTATGGAACCCGTAGCTTCCAGGTGTGACTTGAAACCAATCGAGTAACCTCGACACATAATTACAGAAAGTGTCATAGAGTACAAACTATAATCCTTGCACAACTACCCTTATAAAATATTACGAGATACTCCGTACGTTTGTAAACCTAGGAAAATTGAGCTAAGAGTCATTTTACCTGGTTAGTGAGTCAACTCCAAACGCTACCAGGAGAACGGCGGCAGCCATACACGCGAGATACACTCCCGCTATCACCTGAATCTTCAGTTCTGAAGGAGGTTCTAGATTTGTATTCCCCTAATAACAAATAAGTATTAATTTCTACTTTTGTAAATTATAAAGAATTAATCGCTTAAGAGTGGCTGCTAGTAACACAATTTTCAGCTTTGAATCGGTATAGAAAAGGTTTCTTCGTGAAGGAATAAGATCCAATCTCTGAACAGGCTAGATGACCAAAAAAGGTTAATCATACCAACACACATATGTGATCAATACACTGCTTATCACTAATATTCCTGATGCCGAAAGGAATGCTATGTCTAGTTTGACATAATTATCAAACTAGACATAGAGATAGATTGTGTCAGCCATTATTTAGATTGGCAAAGGTACACAAGTCGTTCATGGGATTCAGCGTTAAGTGTTATAACAAAATCCCAGGCGAAATACAACAATTAAATGAAAGAAATTTTAAATTATGTGTAAAGAAAACTTTGTGTAAAAAAGCATATTACAAACTGAGAGATTATATTGAGGATGAGGATGCTTGGAGACGGGCTGGTCCTGCTCCACAGGATAATATACCTACATGAATATAAATAATGTTCCAGTGGATCTTTGCTTGAACGGAACTTCTTAGATTTTGTAAATTTGTAACCATGCCATTTTTATTGTTAAACTTGATAAATTTGTAAATGTGAGTGCCCTGTAACCTATTACAATTAGTTAGACTAGCAGAATGTCGGTCCTTATGTCAGCTTGGAGTTGTCATGCTCACTCAAAGGTCACATTGGCGGTGGCACGGTCACTGGATCGCTCGATTCCCTATATTATGGTTGAGTTGGGCGATGCTGGTGTACGTGTCATGCTCGTGAACGGGCGCCGTCAATTGGGACTGGTCAGCTCCGGACTGTCTATTGTCCTTAAGGTTATTTTCTTTTTATGTTTCTCTGCATACACGCGTTACACTGTTCTCACATATTCAAACCAACTAAATAATGTATTAAAGAATCTTTATGTGACATTGATTTTAAAAGAGTAACCATGGAGTTTCTTGCTCGTTCTTCTCCATCGGAATCTACACTTTGGAACGAGCGAATAGCTTCACTAAGAGGACTGACCGTCAGACTGACACTTTATATCTTTAAAATTTTGTTTGACGTTCAAAAGTGCCTGTATTGGTCTAATTGAAATAAATGATTTTGACTTTGACTTTGACTTTGAATGCAAACCAATTAGTGAGAAATAAATAAGATGAGAAAGCCTATTTTTTTTTTGATAGCTACATACATGGATATTTTAAGAACTTACATGAGAAGCAGTGGCACTGCAAAAGTTGACGCCGCAAGTAGACCCGAAGTCTACAGAAGGCGTAGTTTCATTAGTGAACAGATCTGCTAGGCTTGAAGTCGTCGCATTCCATAGTTTCGGCTCATCGCCCAGGTTAGAAGATAGGACTGAAAAATAAACAGTCAATGGATTCAATATCTACTTTGACTCTTAATCTAATGTCACCGACTTACTCCTTACTATATTAAAGATAGTGTACAGTTGTAAGAGAATATAAGCTTAAACAAAAGATTACACGCTTGGCGTAGTGCCTGGGCAACTGGCTGTGGTGCATCGTGTCGCGGGTTCGATTCACGAACGGAACAATTCTTTGTGTTTGGTGGCTAGTGTATGTAAATTTGTACTACTCTGTCAAGAAAGTACCGGGAAAAAGTCAATAATACACAAAATGTTTGTTATTCATCTAAATTTATTTTATCGCCTTCAAAGTATGCTCCTTCAGAAACGATACACTTACGCCAACGAATAATCCAATCATCGAAACTTTTTTTAAACGCTGTTTCCAGAATTGAGTTCAGTGCTCGCCGCGAATTCTCCTTTATGTCTTCTAACGATTGAAAACGGGTGCTTCGAAGGGGTAATTTGAGTGTGGGAAAAAGAAAGAAGTCGGCTGGAGCCATATCTGGTGAATATGGTGGCTGCTCGATGGTGTTTGTTGAGTGTTTGGACAAAAAATCGTTTACAATGATGGCCTTGTGCGAAGGCGCATTATCGTGATGCAAAATCAAAGAATTTTCTTTCCACATTTCTGGCCTTTTTCGTCGAATTTGTTCTCTTAAAGACCGCATAACGCTCAAATAATATTCTTTATTTACCGTTTGACCTTCGGGCAAGAATTCTGAGTGCACAACACCGCGATAGTCAAAGAAAACAGTCAACATGACTCTGACTTTTGATCGACGTGGTTTTTTCGGTTTTGGTTCAGTTGGAAGGCGCCATTCCGAAGCTTGTTGACTAGTTTGCATGTCAAACTCGTAAACCCACATCTCGTCACCAGTAACAATGCGTTTCATGAATGTTGGGTCGGTATTGGCTCGTTCTAGCATGTCCTCAGCGACTTTCATGCGATTTAGTTTTCGTCTTTTGGGACTAGCCGAGCGGCAACACGTTTCATACCCAAATTATTTGTTAAAATGGTACGGATCGACTCGTGAGATACAGAAAGTTCGGCGGCCGTCTCTCTCAAACTTGAATGAGGATTTTCAGTCAATATTTCCTTCACTTTTGCGATGTTAACTTAAGTTGCAAACGTTGATGGCCTACCAGAACGAGGCAAATCTTCCATCACATCTCGACCGCTTTTGTACGCTTTGTACCACTCATAAGCACGTGTTTTTGATAAAGTCGATTCACCGTAAAGCCGGGTCCAGACGAGTGTAACGTGTAATGTAAGATTACGTGTAATTTAGTATCAACAGTGTGGACGGCACACGAACTCAAAGCGAATTGTGAACGCGAAAATATTTCAAAAGCTGTTTCCACTCAGTTGCTACGAACATGCCGAATAGGAAGGTCGTGATAGCTGGTGCGGCTTTTATTTTCATGTATTTACTAACTGAAGACCGCAAAAGTCGGAAGCGTCGATGGTGGAAAACTAATTTGTATAAAAGAAGATCTTCTTTACTTGTGGAACTAAAATCTCAACATATAAGTGGTCAATATAAAAACTTTACCCGGATGTCGCCTACTGACTTCGAATATTTGTTAACAATCATTGCGCCTAAAATATCAAGACAAGACACTATAATGAGATCTGCAATTTCGCCGCAAGATAGACTGGCTCTAACACTAAGATTTTTGGCAACAGGAGATTCATTTACAAGCCTTCAATACACCTTCAGAATTTCAAAACAGTCAATGTCTTGCATTGTACCAGAAGTTTGTGAAGCGATTATAAAAGCATTGAAAGAAAACATTAAGGTGAGTTTTACATATTTTTATTTATTTATTAAAATAACAAATTAAGCTATTGTATTAAGTAGGGTAAGCAAAATTAAAATTATTCCAAAATTAAAATTAGAAAGTTAAATCAAATTGTATCTTCAAATCATGTAGTACAAAATTTATTCTTTTCAAATCAGGTCATTCACAAAGTCTACATCTTCATATGAAGTTTGAGATAATTCTGAGGGAACAGGTGAAGCATATGGAGCAGTAGGGCAACTTGTCTGATTTTGACCTGTTGAATACCCTGAAGTAAGTTCTGAGCGATTAGACAAAGAAGGTGGTTCATTGCAGTATCTTGATGAAGGAACCGAGCCTGTTGTATACCCACTGTAATTGAATGCCGATGGATAATAATGTTGAGAAAAGTTAGTGCACCCTTCATCGGCTTTGAATATTACGTCCATTATTGCTCGCTGCACGGCATTTTTAGTACTTCTGTTATATTGTTGCATCTTGCTGCATATAAAATTTGAAAAGAAAAGGGTTTCACTGTCAAAATTGTTTGGATTATTGTTCCGGGGTTCAGGAGTAGGACTAGAAGCAGCACTCTTAAGCAGGCCAAGAGCCTCCGAAAGCATACCCATTTTTTTATTTTCGTCTGATTTCTTTTTTTTGGGGGCCTGACCATTTGGTGATATAAATTCTGAACTGTTATCATTTTCGACACTTGTAGATGCACTCTGTTCCGGTTCATTTGTAATCTGTAATTAAAAAGAAATTCATTGTTTCAGCTGCCAAAAACAGAGTCAGAATGGATCCAGATCTCAAACAGATTTGATGAATTGTGGAATTTTCCCCATTGTGCCGGAGCCATGGACGGTAAACATGTCATTCTCGAGGCTCCGGTACATAGTGGCACAGAATATCGTAACTACAAATCTAATTTCAGTATAGTGATGTTTGCTTTAGTAGACGCGGAATATAATTATAAATTTCTGGATGTCGGATGTCAAGGCCGCATTTCAGATGGTGGAATTTTTAAGGAAACTGAATTATATAAAAAACTAGGAAATAATTCGTTAAGATTGCCTGCACCTGAAGCACTGCAAGGTAGAAACAAAGTAGTACCATATGTTTTTGTAGGAGACTCTGCCTTCCCTTTACAAAACAATATAATGAAACCCTATCCAGGAGAATACCCCAAGGGATCGCCGCGAAGAATTTTTAATTACCGGTTAAGCAGAGCTCGCAGGATTGTAGAAAATGTATTTGGTATCACAGCATCTGTGTTCAGAGTTCTACGAAAACCTATGCTCCTTCAGCCCAAAACCGTGGAGACTATAGTCATGGCTATTGCACACTTGCATAATTTTTTGAGAAACACGGATTCATCTAAAAACTTGTATGCACCCCCTGGCTCACTTGACAGCGACCAAAACGGAAGATTATGTGAAGGTAGTTGGCGGAGAGATTGTGAAATGTCATCTTTACTTCCATTGAATAATGTACCTAGAAGAGCTGCCTCAACGGCAAAACAAATTAGGGATGAGTTTAATGACTATTTTATGAACGAGGGTACAGTTTCTTGGCAGAATACATATTGTTAAGTTTTTTTTATCAAGTCGAAGGAAACTATTACGGGCATTACCTCTAATGGCACGCCTAACGAAACGGCCCCCAGTTCCCGGTCGCCCCGCTATTCTTGGCCAAGTCGGCGGTCATAGTAACGGCGGGGTAGGGGGTGCTAAGAATCTCCGGGCTATGAAAGGCCGACAACACCAACTGACTCTGGCTACGTATAACGGACGCACGCTACGGCTCGATGAACATTTGGCACAGTTA